TATATATATATATATATATATATATATATATATATATATATATATATGTTGGTTGGGGCGCAGTGGCTCATGCCTCTAATCCTAGCACTGTAAGAGGCCGAGGCTAACTTGAGCCCAGGAGTTCAAGACCGGCCTGGGAAACATGGCTAAACCCCGTCTCTACAAAAATACAAAACTTAGCAGAGCATGGTAGTGCATGCTTCTAGTCCCAGCTACCCATGAGGCCGAGGTGGGAGGATGGCAGGATGGCTTAAGCCTTGAGATCGAGGCTGCAGTGAGCCAAGATCATACCACTGCACTCCAGCCTGGGTGACAGAGTGAGGCAGTCTCAAAAAAAAAGTATCAGATTATGTTACCATTCTGCTTCAAATCCTGTGGGCTTCCTAGTGGATTTAAAATAAAATCCAAACAACTTAAAGGGTGATCTGGCCTCCAGCGACTTCTCTGGCCTCATCTTGCACCACCACCTTGCTCATGACTCCAGAACAGGCCAAGCTCATTCCCACTGAGGGGGCTGATCCCTCCGCCTGGATGTTCCTGCCCAGATATCTGCATGGCTGGTTTCCTAGCAGCGGAGTCTCCAGTCAGACATTACCTCCTTAAAGAGACTGCCCTCCGCCACCCAACCAAATGTTAATTCTCCCAACCCATTCTCTCCTGGATTGCATTTTAAAACTTCTCTTTATGGCACTTTAGGCAAAATTGCCTTGTATGTTTATGCACTTATCACCTGACTCCCCCTGCTAGGAAGTGAGCCTCTAGAGAGGCAACTTATTCGAATACTCATGAACCTCAGGAACTAGAATGGTACCTGCCACATAGAAGAGATGTTTGAATAAATAAGTAAATAAATAAATGTATATTTCACTCTCTTACTACTCCCACCCCAGCACCTTCCTGCCTTGGGGGAGTTTGTGATTCAGAGCTAAAATCAGAAGTTGTCTGAAGCCAGCCTGTGGTTCGCTCTTTTGTGAAGATCTTACCAAGCTAAGGAGCAGATGCTTGGGGCTCTGGGGGCTGGAGCATGCGGTGCCTTACTGTGGTTGGTTGAGAATAGGAGGAACAGGGTTTCTTCAAGCAGCGGGAGATCTGCAGGTTGGTGAACGATGGGTCCTAGAGATACCTCCTTGTAGATCCCTGAAGTCATGTGGGTTCTGGGGAGTTGCAAATGGAGGAGGAACAGAGAGCTTCAAGGTGGGCTAAGGAAGGCAGACACCAGGCATGAGAGCCAGGTATGAGAGTCCGGCACCCTGAGAGGCACAGAGGTTCAGGTTTCAGGTGCTCACCCGACAAGGTGAGCCTGGACAAGGCCCATACACTAGTCCCCTGAGTCAACAATAGTGGAGCTCCCAGTGTCTGGCAGCCTGGGAAACCTGGAGGGTGGAAGATTTGGAATAATAACTGAGATGGAGTTTCCTGAAGCCTGATAGAACAGGGGCTGGGAGTTGGACTTCATATCGTTTTTTAAAAGTAATGAAGTCATGGGACATTTCAGAAACCTTTGAGTTTGGGAAAGAGTACACATCTGCTGCCCAATAGCCAGCCCAGAAATACTACACTTATGGCAGCTTTCATTGATAAGAACTTAGAATGCCAGGCCTGGACTAGGCACTCCACAAGTTACCCCCTTAAATCTTAAAACAATGCTATGAGAGAGACACTATCTATCATCTATCTATCTAATCTATCTATCTATCTATCTATCTATCTATCTATCTATCTATCTATCAATCATCTATCAGAGTTGGCAACTGAGGCCCAGAGATGCTTGACTGCTAGATCTCCAGGTCCATCCAGGGTGAGAGGCAGTAGTGGGGGGCTCCACTTTGGAGGCCAATCCCCTTGAGACCTGTACCTCTACTCTTCCCCACTCTGCCTAGAAGGTTTGTGAAGAACTCCTGGTCAAAAGCCAATCCCCAGACTAGTTCTTTCTGCATCAGCTTTGTCCTGCAGCTGGAAACAAGCAAGGACTGCCTGCCTGCAAAGAGAACAATCACAGCCGTCTGCTCTCCAGGCTGAGCGCAGTGTTCTGTCCCACAAAGCTGCAGGGTGAGAGAAGAGTGTATTGCTTCCCTCCAGTTTAGGACTGGGATCATTTTCACCCTCAAGAGGTTCAAGACAAAAGCGTGTAGGTAGGCTAAGCTGACTCTGATGTCCTCCCCTCTCCCCAGCACCTGCTGGAGGCAGCAAGGGAGACAGACATTGCCTGATTTTATCCATTTGTTGGCCTACCCATTGCAAGACATTAAGTGTTGTTTTCCTACCCCAAAGACACAAAGATCTCTTCCTAGAGTACTAACAGGTAACATGGCCAAATACCACACACACAAAAAATGTGTAATCAACTGCTCCCTCCTGGTGGGGAAAAGCGGCCTATTTTGCAGTAGATCGCTTGCCTTCCCATCTGCTCTTCCCCTTGTAAGCACCCCCTGGTGCATTCCTCCTACCCAGGGTTATTCCTGGGATTGAGGAAAGGACCAGGAAAATGAGTTCATATGGGAGGATTTGCAATTTCGTCATCTCATTCTTGAGAAGTGAGGGCAGGATTAGGAGGGGGGTGAGGAGGAATATCGTTTAAAAATAGGAGTCTAGAGGAGACTGTGTTCTAGATAAAGCAATGACTCCAAGGGTGAAAGTTGAGGCTACAAAGTCAGGGCAGGAACACAGCTGTGATCCCCTCAAATTACAATGTAAGTCTCTGGCTTGGGACTTAACCCTGAGGAACCCATTTGGCTGCTGGGACCTTCAGTGTCTCAGATTTTTCAAGCCTGACCAGTAAATCTTAGATGAGGCTCACTAAAAGTGCAATATATGCCCCACCCTCTCTCTGCCTGCCTTGCCGCAATTCCATGCCCTATCAGTTTTCATTTGTGAGACCAGGCCTATGCCCAGGGCCAGTGTGGGGCATGTAAAGGGACGCCCAGAAGGGGTATTTGGTTGAACTTCCAGGACAGAGGGGGCCTCAAACTCACACAATTGGTGACTCAGGATATTTGCACATTCTCACCAGGCTCAGTCAGCAGGGAAGTTGGAGTTCTCAGCAATCAGTCACTTGCACACTGGAAGACCAAGAAAAGTCTGTTCAGATATCCTCCCCTAAGGAGCTGGGGACGGGTGGGGTGTGTAGTTGACTGATAGCCACGCTGGATCTGCCACATTGTTTATGCCCAGGCTCTGCTTCCTAGAGCTGCTTCCAGCCAATGACTGAACATGGTGGGGTTCTAGTGCAGGACCCCTCTAACCATGGCTTCAGTACTCTCCATTAGTTTGGCTGAAACTTTCTTAGAACTGCACCAGAGTCTGAAACTCTTCCTAATGAATCCTATTCTCAGCCTCCTTAACCAGATGCAGTTCTACAGAACAGTCTGAAGGCTCTCCCTGTCTAATCTTGCTCTTTCTCCTTTCTGCAAGTAAATCTCTTGCACGTCATCACCCTTGGCATCTGTTTCTTAGAGGACCCCAACTAGTACAGGAATGGTTGGAGAAAACAGGCAGAATGATAGGGCTTGGGAACTGCCTCACTCACGGCCAGGGAGGCAAAGAGGACACCATCCTAAGTAGACTGTGGGACACAGAGAGTCCCTGGCACAAGGTGGCAGCCTAATTGCTGAAGCTGTACTGGTGGTGGCTTGGGGACGCTTACTGGTGGAAGGGAACAGCCTTGCAGGTGGGACAAATCAGGCACCTGAAAGATATTCAGGGAGGCAGTGTCCACAGGGACAGAAGAGTTAACTGTTTTTTGCTAAATATTCTTGAAGCCCACCAGAGTGAGAAGAAACTGAGGTTTTTGTTTTTGTTTTGTTTTGCTTTGTTTTTTTGGGATGGAATCTTGCTCTGTCGCCAGGCTGGAGTGCAGTGGCACGATCTCGGCTCACTGCAAGCTCCGCCTCCCGGGTTCAAGCAATTCTTCTGCCTCAGCCTCCTGAGTAGCTGGGACTATAGGCGCACACCACCATGCCCAGCTAATTTTTGTATTTGTAGTACAGACAGGGTTTCACCGTGTTAGCCAGGATAGTTTCGAGCTCCTGACCTCATGATCTGCCTGCCTTGGCCACCTAAAGTGCTGGGATTACAGGTGTGAGCCACCTCCACCGGCTGAAACTGAGGTTAACAAACAGTTATACAAACAGTTAAAGCCTAAGTGTGAAAACCAGAGGGCTTATTTGGAAATTTGCCAAGAGGCCCTTATTTCCTGCAGTGGAAGGGCTAACAGAGCTGAGGAACAGCTGCAGGACTTGATTGTTAGAGGTGTAGAGTTCTAAAGACATTCAAATGCTCAGGCTAGACTAGCCTATTTTACTAAAGGCAAGATCCTAACTGGAAAACCTGGCCCCTGACATATGGGGACATCTAGATGGATGCTCTGGGCTTCTTATTAGTAATATCCAAGGGGATGAACCTCTTCATCCACATCCCCATGAGGTGGTTCTGCACCTTAGAGATTGCAGAGGTAACCCAAGTGAGTACTTCCCCATGCTGACTGATGCTAAAGAGACCTCTTCCCTGCAAAGCACAGGTTCTCTGGCCCCTCAGAAACTTCCTTCACTTTCCAATACCTAGGATTACATTTCGGGATGTGCCGAGCCTGATAAGGGAGAGAAGAGACTATACAATGATTAATAAGAATGAGCTAAGCATGAATCAAGAGGAGAAAGGGAAGGATTTCAAGGGTTAGATTTGAAAGTTCTTGATCAAGGAGTAATAACATAGGACTGAATACGCAATAATTCATTGACTTGGGGGTACTTTCCTGGGCCATGGGATTTAACACCTGGTTAAAGATCCCCGGAGTTGGGGGCAAACTTACTGCTAGGTAGCTATGGTAGGCAGCCTCAAATATAATGGTCCCAATGACCTCGCCTCCTAATATACATGCCCTTGTTTAATCCCTTCCCACTGAATGTAGGCTGAACTTATGGATCCACTTCTAATAGCTAGAATACAGCAGAAGTGACAGGATGTCATTTCCATGATTACACTGACTGAAATTTTAGGTGTATGCTCCCTTTGTCTTTAGCCTCTTTATTCAGCTCAACCACCAGATAAAGAAGTCCAGGCTACCTTTCTGGAAAAGCCACATGGAGAAGAGAGGTCCTGGAGGTTGGGAGGCCAGATGGAGAACTGAGGCATCCTAGTTGAGAGCCAGCACCAACTGCCAGCCATATAAGTGCGCCTTTTTGGAAGTAGACCCTACAGCCCCAATCAAAGTTTCAGATGATGCTTTCACTGACACCTTGACTACAACCTCATGAGTCCCTGAGCCAGAACCATCCAACTAAACCATTCCCAATCTGACCCACAGAAACTGTGAGATAATGTATGTCTGTTGTTTTAAGTCACTAAGTTATGGGAAACAATAACTTAGCACAGCAATCAACGACAAATTCAATAGCTCCTAGAAGCTCAGAGAAAGTAATGGTGAACAACACAGAAATGCCTAATTCACCCCAAAAGATAGTAGAGAAAGAAATAAAGAAGTTGAAGGAAGGGAGAAAGCTGGAATGGATACATTCTGTGAGGCCAGAGGATCATGCTCTATGAGAGGCCTCTGAGCACACATCACCAACCAAGGCTATAAGGGCTACCATCATCATGAAGAAGTCCAGTGGTAGTTCTCCTCTCCAGGCCAGAGAGCTGGTCACAGGGCTTGGCTGGTGAGTATCCACAGGAATGTCTCCTCATGCTCAAGTAACAGAGGCCAGGTACATTAAGCATCAGAAGCCAGCTCTGGTAGCTTTTACCATAATGACTGGCAAGTTTGAAGGGGCAGCTAAGAGAGCTTCATGGAGTTGTGGCAATGACTGATAGAGCGTGGCACTCCTAGGAGCAAGATAGATGGGCAACCTACAAGGTGATGCTTAACGTCTATAACTCCCCCAATCCCCTAAAAAAGCAAGAGTGAAGGAGGAGGAGACTGAGGGAAATTACCCCAATATGAAATCATGGGGCCGGGTGCAGTGTCTCACGCCACTTTGGGAGACCCAGCACTTTGGGAGACTGAGGTGGGCGGATCACCTAAGGTCAGGAGTTCAAGACTGGCCTGGCCAACATGGCTAAATCCTATCTCTACCAAAAATATAAAAAATTAGCCGGGCGTGGTGGCATGCACCTGTAATCCCAGCCACTCAGGAGGCTGATAGAGGAGAATCACTTGAACCCAGGAGGCAGAGGTTGTAGTGAGCCAAGATCCTGCGACTGCACTCCAGCCTGGGTGACAGAGCAACACTCTATCTCAATAAATAAATAAATAAATAAATAAATAAATAAATAAACTCTCACTCAGTTCCTGAACTAGTGTCAGTTTTCAGATCCAGAACTAGTCAACTGAAGGAGTGAATTAGTCCTTAAAAGAAAGGACCTGGAAAGGCTATGGGAGGTATATACTAGAATATTTACTCAGTTTATTATACACTAAGAAAAGGGGATACCCGGATATTTAAAACACTTGTAGATAGATGTGAAGTGACATTGATGCCCAGAGACCCAAAGGATGAGCACAGTCCCCTTATTAAAGAGGGGGGTTACAAATGTTAGGATATGAATGGACTCATGGCTAAAATCTAGTTCACGGAAGGTCTCCTGGATCTGTTAAACCACCATATGATCATTTCCCCAGTCCCTGAGTGTAAAACTGGGATAGAAAAGCGTAGCAGTTGGTATGGCATCCACATTGGCTCCTCGGCCTATGAAGTAAGAATGATGGTAGTAGAGAGGGTCAAGTGGAATCCTCTGAAGCTACCTGCTCCTTCCTGGCTAAGACAGTAAATAAAAAATACTACGTCCTAAAAGGATGGAGACAATTAGCATCACCATTAAAAACCTAAGGGATGCATTGCTGATGGTCCCTCTCATATCTTTATTTAATTTGTCAGCCAGGCCCCTGCAGGGAACAGATGGATCCTGGAGAATGACTGCAGACTACTGCAAGCTCAACCGAGTCATGGCCCTGATCACAGCTGCTGTGCTGGAGGTGGGATTTCTGCTAGAGGGGATTAATAAGCTCTAAAGTACATATAAGGTATGTGGCCAGCAATTCAGTAAATGTGTTATTTTCTATTCTAATTAAAAAAGAGGATCAGAAACAAGTCACTTTATCATGAAACTGGCAACATTTATTTATATAATTTTGCCTCTGTGCTCTCCTAACTCTCTGCCCTCTGCCATGATACAGTCCTAAAGACCTGAACTCACCGGACGTCCCACAGAACATCACACCAATGCATTACGCTGATTGATGGTGTCATGCTGATCCAACAGGATGAGCAAGAGGTGGCTAAACACTGGAAGCCTAGGCGAGACAAGTGTACCCTCAGCATGTGAGATGGATGCTGTGAAGATTCAGGGACCTGCCACTTTAGGGAAGTTTGTAGGGGTCCAGTGTTCAGAGGTTTGACAGAATATCCCCTCCAAGATAAAAGAAACATTGCTGTAAGCCCCAGAGAAAGACTCATGTTGAAGTCCCGGGATTCCAGAGCAAGGCCATGCTATCCACAGCAGACAAGTCTCTGCCACTGGAGAAACAACCCATAATGTGTTCCTGGGCCCTAGCAGAGATAGATCACTTGGCCATTGGGTACAAAGTGATCATGTATCTGAAACTGCCTATTATGAGCTGGTTTTGTTGGATCAAGTCATAAGCTGGGTGAGTGAAGCAGCACCACATTGTAAGACGGAAATGATATATTTGGAGTCAAGCTGCATGAACAGGTAGTCCAGACCCCAAGTCACCTGTCACAGTTGCACAAGTGTTTCTACCCCAACTGGTACCTATGCCATGCTGGGAGTTCTTTTTATTCCCCAACTTTTAAGTTCAAGGGCACTTGTGCAGGATGTTTAGGTTTGTTACATAGGTAAATGTGTGCCACGGGCCGGAGGAGGAGAAAGAAGCCCTAGCTTGGTTTATGAATGGCTTGGGTTGTTAGGTGAAACGCAAAAGGGCATGGCAGCTGCACTCCAGCTACATCCCAGGAGTCGTCTTGAAACACAATGGATAGAGATGGAAAATCTTCTCAATGGATGGAGCGGAAAGTGGTGCATGTGCTCACCTACTTTGCGTGAT